TACAAATGTTGTTTCTGATTTGCAAAAAATACACAGGTGGGCAAAAACATGGCCAGCCTGCGCAGAGAACCATGTTCAAAGTCGTCTTTGATGGCCTTCCATTGGTTTTTGACCCTTCCTGGTCCTAATAAGCCAAAATGGGGTCCCAATTGTGCCGATGATGTTTCTGTACGAGGCGCGCGCGCCTCGAACAGAAACATCATCAGCACAATTGGGACCCCATATTTAGCTAACACCAGGGACAAAAGGCCTTGTACATCCATGTCGGGTTAAGTGAGGGGCAAAAACACCCAAAGTTGGGATTCAAAGCCTTTCAAAGTACCATGTTCATCAGCAAGAACATCCCGGGATACACCCTACCCCCCCCCGCACCCCCCCTTTCAAGGGTGAAAACCCTGTTCTACTGAAACCATAACATGCCCCCCAAGCTCGGCGGATTCTCAACCGGCCATACAAGAGTCACTCTTGAAATCATGGCCAAGGTCGACATTGGAGACATGTCCCGTGACTGGAAGGACAGTGAGGCACTCCTTTTGGATGATGGTTACACGCCGCCTGGGCTCCACAAGAAACATTTTGTAAATCTGCTGTCTCATGGTTCAAATAAAATTATAGGATGTACCTGTAGCTGAATTTTACCCGCCGATTGGGAAGGTTCGAAAACAGGTTTCTCCCAGAAGGCCCCGAAATGAGATCAATGGTGCAGGCCCTCAAAGAGAATTCTCCACCTGCCAAGCTGCCCTTCCCACATTGAAACTGGTTCAAATGTCGGGAGTGGGGGCAGTGGAGGGTTAGCGAACGATGGCGGTAAGGTTGCACAGATTGCTTGAAGGTTGAAAGCCTAAGAACCTACCGGGGCCAACGGGAAAAGCTGCAAGTCGATGGCTTAGGTGGGAGTGTCTGAATTCAAAGATACGCGTGACGCAGATTCAAGTAGGGACCGACGGCTTAGCCGTAGTGGTCACCAAGAGCCTTGGCTGGAGATGGCTTGGGTGGATTCCATTCGGACTGCAACTCCCGACCTTCCAAATATCTTGCTACATTTGGCTAGGTCCTAACCCTGCTTCCTGAGACATGGCTTGCCTGCGGATGAGAACTGTCTCATGCGCATCCTTGTAAATGCCTCCCCGCTGAAGCCTGTTAGGTAACCAGTTGGCCCCGTTGCAGGAACAGCAAGGCACACGATTGCCTGACCTCTCCAGAAGTGGGTGGCCTTACTCTCGCCATGCTGCACTGGATGTTTACAGACTGGTCCGGTCCTCGGTTTACTCGCCGACTGAAAGCCCTTGAGAGCTACTAAACTTGCTCGTGGCGAGGACCAACGAGCAGTTGATAAGCCACGGTCTGGACCTTGCGTCTGTGGTCCCCAATGACGACGGGGACGGACTCAAGGACTAAAGAACCGCTATGTGAGGGCCAGACCAATGCTACTACTTCTCCCAAGAAGCTCAGAAGCAGTGAAACCCAATGGCTTGGCAAGGAGTGGAGTGACCTGTCTCCGGCTTGCCCCGAGGCGCAGAAACCTAGATTCAGTCTAGCTTGGGAAATCTTCAGCAGCAGCAGCAACTCCCTCACAATTTTGGCCTTAGATGCTTCGGAGTGCAGTCGGAGGTGCCCATCAACATTTA